AGAAGAGCAGTATTCCCCTGTCATTACGGCCTCCACGAAACCTCGGCAGGGTCACCTGTGACTTGCTCCCAACTCCGTGGCAATGAGGAGCTGAGGCTTTTATCTGTTGGTTCTCGTTCTTCCTCTCTTTCTGCTCCTCTCCCATACCTTCCTCTCGTAGGAGACCCTTGGACAGTGGTTGTCTGATGCTAGTGTGGTCCTCAGAGCTAAACAGTATCGCTTGGGATTAGACCAAGCCACAGAACAGACTGTCTTAGGAGGAGGAGCTGCGTGAAGACTCTCCTGAGAGATGGATGCAGTGGGGACAGCAAACGTGAGGTGTAACAGAGGTGTTCAGCCTTGACCTCCACAAACATTGTCTCGTCAGAGACTCGAGTGATCCTGGCTGGAGCATGAAGTCATGTCTCCAACTCCTCTTCTTTTCCTGCCCCTTCTCTCTCCTTCCTCGTTGGCAGATTCCATAGACAGGTCTAGATATTTATTCTGTCAAGATGGTACGTCTTCGTTTTGTCTCCTGTCTTGCAACAAGGAGACAAATATTGCTAAGTGGGTGGGATGCCGCTCTGTGAGAGAAAGATGGCTGTCTTCTTTCAGGCCATTCGTAGCCTCTGAAAGACCACAGGAGGAGCAGTTCGGAGTCCGTTCAGACTCAACAGCACGTAACAACAGTGACCCAGTGTTATGAAATGAAACCGGACCCGAGTGTTTTCTGGACTAAAGTCCTTGCTTTTGGAGGCTGACTGGCTGGTCTTTCTCTCATGGTGCTTCCTAGTTGGGGAGAAGGGCCAGTTTTTTTGGTTAGTAGCTGAGTACTCTCCAGTCGTGTCCCAATCCGTTGCCCTCAGCCGGTCTCACTCACAGTGACTCTGTCATATTCCAGAGGCTCTAAATCTTCACGGTGGGAAGAAACTGTCTTTCTCCCTTCTCAAAATAATTTGAGCAGAAACTCCTGAAACGTTCTATCTAGTAGTCTCATTTTAAAAATTGGAAAAGAAACTGGTGGGATTAATATTCCAAACCAAGTATATTTATCTCAATAGCTCCCAAATATTATCATTTAGTCAACACAGATATTGTCTGTGAGATTTTTGCATTCATTTGTCCTCCCACCAAGTCCCTCGTGCAGTCTTTGAAAATCCACAGTGTGTATACAGAGACACATTGCAGTCCAGACAAGTCACATTTCAGGTGTCCAACAGACGTAGGTGGTGGCGGCTGCTCTGGTGACAGCACACCTCTGGTCTGTTTACCCGAAGGATTTATCTTTTTCACTTGATGCCCATAATATATTGAGATGGACGCAGACAATGGCTTATTTACTCTAGCCACGTAGGGGCACCCTTCTCCAGGTGTCCAGGATACACGATTTAAAATGCATGTCACAGAAAGGATCTGCTTCAAGAGTTAAAGTACATGCACTGAGGGGAACACAGCACCGGGTCAGAGTTTGTGGTTGATATTTATCATGCGGGTTCCCTAGATGGGGCCATTTGTGAAAAGAGATGTGGCTAGTAGAAATATTTGATCAGGAATAGTATGACGTAATGAGATGAATTCTTGACCTCAGGTCAAGAGGCTGGACTGTATGCAGTTGAGACCCTAACCTGGGAAATGGAGGCCATAAACTCAGTCTTACACCTGGCCAGTTGTGTCAGTAGGCCTTTTATGCCCATTTTCTTATCCAGTTCCCAGCATAAATCCAATGGGGAGGTGGAAAACATTCCCAGTTAGTTTAGAGAAGAAGAAAACAGATCTGAAGAGGTAGAGTGACTGTTTCTGGCTTGTTGTGGGGTCAGTGAAAACTTGGCTCTGTCTCATTCCAAAGCTGTGTCCTTTACATTATAATCCATATGCATGGCGCATGGTAGGGTGTGTCTACTGTGCATCAGAGTTCACCCTGAGAAACAGGACCAACACACACACACACCCATACACACACACCCATACACCCATGAACACAAAGTTGGGTTTCACCTTCTACAGATTCTGACCTTACAAATTCTACTTGCTGAAACTGATTTACAACTCCCAAACTACACACTGGCAGTGCTTTCGTGGGTACCGAAGGCACAGGCACAGTCATGAGAGTTGTGAAGCCCTGCCTGGCACCTTCCTAGGTGGTGCTGATCGCAGGTCGAAGTAGTGCTCTGCCTTCCTTCTCACCTCTCCCACCAGCGCTGTGATCTGTGGCTCGATTGAAGGCCATTTCCCCTTGCTTCATTTTTGTGGGTTTGCCTCTGTGGGTGATGGTGGTAGTAGTGGTGGAGAGCTGGTTGTTATTGGCTCCCAGCGATTGTGAGGAAATGATGTCCATTGTTGCTGACCGTAAGAAGGCTGTGAATTGCCTGATGGAGAAAATGCACGTGTTAGATAAGTTGGGCCTTGCATGAGTTGTAGTTGCCCTGGCTGTGAGGTCAGTGTTACTTAGTCGTATTAGTCAACCTATGTACACTCTAGAAACTCACGTAAAAGATTATGCATTCACCAATTGATGAAAACATTGCACCCAGAGGCTCCCAGGAACCTAGCCCAGTAATGAGCAATTCCCCAGAGAAAATGGCTCAGTCTCCACTTCAGTGTTTGTGGCAACTACTGTGAAAATGAGAATTGACAGCTTCGATTTGCTGGGCTCTACCAGTCAACACTCTTGGTACCAGCAGCAAGGAAAATAAAAGACGAATTGCATTGAGAAAGTCTGTTGTCAGAGACCTCTCCAAAGTACTGAAGAGCAATGATGTCAGTCTGGAGACTAAGGTGCATGTGATATAGGCCATGGTCTTTGCAATCACTTTTGCAATCAGAGAGCTAGACAACGACTAGAGATGATAGAAGGAGAGTTGGTTCCTTTAAACTGTGGTTCTGGAGAAGAGTATTGAATATACCATGGCCTGCTAGGAGAACAAACAAGTTAGTCCTGGAGAGGGTAAAACCAGGCTGCTCCTTGGAGCCAAGGATTCTGAGGCTTCATCTGACATACTTTGGACATGTTGCAAGGAGGGTCCAGTCCTTGGGGAGGGATGTCATGCTTGGTAGGGTGGAGGGACAGCACAGGGGAGGAAGACCCTTGATGTGATAGATTGATTCAGTGATTGGGGTAATGGGGATAGGCATGTCTGAGACAGTAAGATTGGCAAGGGATAGAACAGGGTTTAGGGCTGTTGTACATAGAGTTGCTATGAGTCACAGGCGACTCAATGGCACATAATAACAACAACAACATTCACGTCTATAATACACAGCTCCTACCTGCTTGTTAATGGAGGCTTGAGTATTACTATGATGGTGAACAGATGTCAGAGGGAGCTTCAAATTCCGATGGGCTAGAGGGAAAAGGCAGGACATGGAGTTTCAAAAACTAGCCCCTGAAAGGAACACAGCTCCAAGGTCCCCGTGAGCAGCTGCTCCCCAGCTGGCACAGGGCCCGGCCGTGTTTTATCCACTGCGCTGAGAATCATCACCGAGAGCTGGGGCCAACTCCTGACAACAGCACTGGTGTTACTTGTTACGGAGGAGTGGCTTGTGCAGTTGTGGGTCTCTTAAGCAGTCTCTGTAAAGACGGGTTTCTACTTATGGTGCTGGAGCTTGAAGTCCACAGAGCAGTTAGAACGGAGGAGGGGACAGCGGGCTAGAACCCACAATCGCTGCCTCTGACTGGGTCTGGCTTGCCCCCTCCTGCTGAGAATTTGCATTTCCGCCCGATATATATTGAATAAGAATGTCCGTGTTAACAAGCTCCCCAGACAATTCTTACAAATCTTCTGGATCTTGTTGAAACATAGAGTCTGAGTTAAAAAGGCTGGGGTGGATATGCAAATTATCAGCTGAGGTCAAACTGAAATGAACAACTTCAAAATCCAGCTTTGGTGATAAAAAAAAAAATCATTTGAAAACCGGGAAGCCTCTTTATGGAGTCAGAAACACACACAGTGAGTCAGAGAAACGTAAGCAGACCCTGGAAGGTGGAGTGCGTCCTCTCTGTGGTGCCCATTAACGGACTCAGCTCATCAGCGACAGCGTGGACGGTTCTGTAACAGAGTGTGTGTGTCACCTCACTCAAGCCTACCTTTTTTTCCCCCCCAAAAATTTTTCTCTCTGGCTGACTTTGACATCAAACATGAGAAAATATTTCTGCTGTGTGGTTCGACTTAACACAGGCGCTGCATCATGAAGCTGTCACATGTGTGTGCAGGGAATCGTTCTTAAATGAATGACCACTGCGCTGTCCCTCCGGCTGGTCGCTGGGCATCAGAACACAGTAACTCTGCTCTCTTTGGACAAGCAAAACCATCTAGAACAAGGCACTTTCACCCCTGTGCGTCTTGGTTTCCTCAATGATAAAACTTTAAGAATAACTGCTTGTTTCTTAAGACATTTTAAGAGGACAGGCTAAGAAGAACAGAGTGAAAGTTATCTTCAGCATTATAAAGCAGAAAGCAAACTTTACATTAAGACTGTCCATTATTTTATTGCTATCATTATCATGCTAATACTTCAGCTTCTAAATCTATCACATGGAGAAAAGAATTCTGCCAGGAAGGTGACAATAGATAAAGAACATGGAAGTTCTATTAGCTATCCCATGGCATATTCTTATTTTTTTTTTAATCTTAATGTAAAACAAAATGTATTTAAGGCACATTTGATGTGTGGGTTTGCAACACACTTTCTAGGCTCCCCTGGCATGTTCTTGAAAGGCAGGAATGAGTTGTCATTCCACTCGGACGCACGCTCACGTCGTGATTTCTCAGACGCACGCTCACGTCGTGATTTCTCAGACGCACGCTCACGTCGTGATTTCTCAGACGCACGCTCACG